GTAATGTAAAAAAAATATTTTTTTAAAAATAAGCTTTTTTTTAACATGTTTAATCAAAGGAATAAAATAAAGTAGTGTAAACAAAAGATTTTTTAGCAAGAAAATTTTGTCAAAACTGCACTAAAATGTTTATATATTATTAATTTCGGAAACAGTAGCCTTCGCGCGGCAAACTGTTCATTTCCAAATTATTTGCATTTTGTTATTTTTTGGTTTATAATATTTTAGTTTGTTATTGTTTTATTCAGCTGTTGTGTTGCAATGTTGCCCACTCTCCCAAAAGGGGGATTTTTTGCAGGGATCGATATGTCAATATCGGAATAGTGTTGCCAGCTTGGAAAATGATGTATCCGTTTTACGATATTAATTATTATTATTATATTTGTTATTATTATTGTATATGCTGACATTATTGTTTATTAATAGTTTTTATACATATTAATAATTATATTGCCTTATTATTTTTGTTTTTTTTTATATCAATGCTATTCAAAATTTTTGTTTGTTTATTTCTCTTTGCATGAATTATCTAAATTTTTTTCATAGTATTCTCGTGCTACAACCTCGTTCTTCTTCTTCTTCTTCTTCTCATTCTCCTTTTTTTTCTAAACTCCTTCCTCTTTTCCTTTCCTTTAAGCTCCTTCTTCTTCTTATTTTAAACTGATTTTTCTTCTTCTTTCTTTTGAAACTCCCTCTTCTTCTCCCCTCTTTTCTCCTATATTTTCTCTTCTTCTTCTCTCCCCTAGGGTCTCCTTTTCATGGCAATCGCTCCCCTATTTGGCAATTGCCGAGTTATCACATTTCTGTCTATGACCGAAATTTACCGATTCTTCGCCTTGCGTCGAATTAGGCTCAGGTGCATGCCGGGGAAGGATTTTTGGTGACTCTGCCGCGTCGGCCTCTTCATCGCCGTAAAATGGCTTCAGCTCACTCAGATGTGCTGTTCTCCTCTTACCGTTGTGTACCTTGTCTAATTCGACGATTACTGGCGAAACGAAGTTCATCACTCGGTACGGCCCAGCATACTTCGGTGCAAGTTTTGCCGCGAAGTTTTCCGTCGCCTTCGATAGGTGATGCTCCTTCACCAGCACTCGGTCACCTACCACTGGTCGCCATTTCCTCCTGCGCAAGTTGTAATAACGCGCTTGCTCGATCGACTCTGTCTGTTGATTTCGCCTTACCATCTCAAATATCTCTCGCATTTTCGTTGCCTTCGCCTCTGGTGTCGTCATCGTATGGCCTGTACCGAAAGTTTGTTCGTCGTAGAGGGCTTTTGGTGCTCGCGGCTCGCGTCCTTGCACTAAGAAGGCAGGGCTGTAGCCGGTGGCTTCGCAAACGCTGGTATTAAGCGCTAGTGTCATTTCGGGTAGTAAGTCGTCCCAATTTCGCTGTTCTTTTCCGGTAAACTGTGCAAGCATTCTCTTTATGTTGCGGTTTGCTCTTTCCGTCGGATTTTCTTGTGGCGTGTATGGCGCGGTGAGTTGATGCTTAACCCCGTACTCTCGTAGTAGCCGTTTGAACTCTCTGCTGGTGAACTGTGTTCCATTGTCAGTTATAAAAATTTTCGGGACTCCAAATCTAGCGAGTACGCGTTCTCGAAACGCTTTGTTGAGGCCTTCAGCTGTCGCTTTCCGTAGAGGCACAATTTCCACCCATTTGGAAAACTTGTCGATAAGGACTAGTACGGTTGTGTTTCCGTGCTTTGATCGTGGCAATGGTCCCACAAAGTCTGCGCATACTGTAGCCCAAGGTTCTTCTGCGATCTGGGTCAGCATCTTTCCCGCAGCTTTCTGTTGGCTGGGCTTGTAAATCTGGCAGGTAGTACACTGTCGGACATACCTCTTTATGTCCCTGAACATTCCGGGCCAGTAGTAACGTGCCGTCGCTCTCGTTATCGTCTTGCGGATGCCCATATGTCCTGCGCTTGGACTATCGTGAACTTCCTTCAGTACTCTCTCACGTAGTGGCGCTGCCACGCATAGCTTCCACGGTATCGTGTCTTCATCATCCATCTGGACTGCGATGTGTCGATACAGTTCGTTGTTTACAATTGTGTAGTCCGGGAACTTTGCTGGTGTCCTCTTCACCTCTGCCATTTTCTCGGTCAGCCACTTGCAGGCCTTTGCCTCTTTATCCTGCACTAATATGTTGAGCTGTACGTCTTGGGGTTGTCGTGACAGTGCATCGGCAACGACGTTCAACTTACCCTTGCGGTACTTTACATCGAATGTGTGTTGCTGGAGCTCTAGTGCCCATCTTGCAATGCGTCCTGAGGGACTCTCGATCGCATTCAGCCATTTCAAGGACAGGTGGTCGGTGATAACCGTGAATGCGTAACCCTCCAGGTACGGTCTCATTTTCCGTATAGCCCACACAATGGCCAGACACTCCTTTTCAGTCGCCGAGTAGTTTTGCTCTGCCTTATTCAGCCGTCGACTAGCGTAGGCTATGACTCGCTCTGCGCCATCTAACTCCTGTGTCAGTACTGCACCTAGTCCAAAATCGCTGGCATCGGTTTGTAGCGTGAAGTGCTGGGAAAATTCTGGACAGGCTAATACCGGTGCTTCCGTTAGTGCGCACCTTAATTTTTCAAAGGCCGTCTGCTGTTCATTGCCCCATTTCCATCGGCTTCCTTTCTTCAGTAATGACGTCAGAGGGTGTGCAATGTGCGAAAAATCCGGAACAAATCGCCGATACCATGACGCTACGCCCAGAAAGCGCCGTAATTCACGTGTGTTTGTTGGCGGTGTCAATTCTTTAATCGCCGCAATCTTGTCAGGGTCGGTGTGAATCCCTTCTTCGCTCACCACATGACCCAGGTATTTCAAACTCTTTTGGAAAAACTCACATTTCTCTGGGTTGATTTTGAGGTTCGCCTGCCGCAATCGTCGAAACACTTCTTTCAGGTGTTCCATGTGTTGGTCTAGCGTCGCACTCGTGATGATAATATCGTCCAGATAAGCAAACGCGTGCGGTTCCAGTTCTGGTCCGATGACTTTGTCCAGCGCTCGTTGAAACGTCGCAGGCGCTGAATGTAGCCCGAACGGCATTACGCGCCACTGAAACAGACCGCGTCCTGGCACAGTGAACGCAGTATACTCCTTACTACTCTCTTCCATCGGGATTTGCCAATACCCATTCTTCAAGTCCAGGCTGCTAATGAATTTAGCGCTTCTCAGTCGATCCAAAATGTGTTGGATTCGTGGGAGTGGGTACGCATCCGGTACCGAGCGCGCGTTAAGTTGCCGATAGTCCACGCAAAGTCTCCACTTTCCGTTTTTCTTCTTTACGAGCACGATTGGCGCGCTGTGTGGGCTATGCGAGGGCTCGATGCACTGCTTCTCTATTAATTCGTCGACCTCCCTGTTTATTACTTCCTGCATTTTCGGGTTTTTGGGAAAGTAGCGCTGTTTTATGGGTCGATCATCTCGCATTATAATCTTATGGGCGGCGATGTTTGTCGTCCCCGTCATCTTCTCGAATGCGAGCAACTCCTTCTTTAAGAAATTTTCGACTTCCATCGTATCCTCGGTGGATGTGGGTTGTTCATTTGCAGCCTTTTCGCCTTCCTCAGCTCTCTCTACTTCGCGCACCTCTAACATCGTGGTACATGCAGCCTTCGTTCGAATGTCGTCCTCTGCCTTCATCGTCAATGTCTGCCCTCCGCAGCTCACTGTTGTGTTGGCCTTTGCCAGGTAGTCAGTCCCAAGGACCATGTCATCGACTAAACCTGGTAGGACGAGTAACTCGCTCCTATGCTCTTGATCGCCCACCTTTACTACCGCCTCTATCGCTTCTGTGACCGCTATTGGTCTGCCATCTCCCATCACCACTCTTTTGTTCACTCTTCGTGACCGCTCGATTCCCAGGGTGTTCGCTGCTCTAATGCTTACAAAACTTCTTGTTGCTCCCGTATCAACCGCCGCTAATACTGCTCTACCATCCACTGTTGCTCTGGCGATTACTCGCCCTTCCGCTTGCTTAAGAATTGGTGTTACATTGACTGAGGTTACATTAGTGGAGACCCCACTCTTCGTCGCGAATGGGGTCCTTGGCCGTTTCCCTGTTTCCCACGGCAACAGTCTGAAGTTCGAATGTTCCGCCGACCACACGTCCAACAGAATTGCTGGATATCGTTGCGACATTCGTAGGCGAAATGTCCGTCTTCGCCGCATCGTCTGCACGCCGTTCGTGGGTTTACTCGGCTAGATCCTTCGCTTTTACGTTGGTGTCCCGTAGGTGGCGCAAAATCGGTTCCATCGTGCCGTCTGGCTGGCATCGTATGCCTCTCTCTTCGCTGCTCCTCTCGGATAGTGTAGTTGCGCTCCTCATTTCGTCTCGGGGTTATTGCGCGGGGCAATGCTCGTTGCGACTCCTTCTCTGCTACAATATTCTCGTAGTCTTCGGCCAGACTTACCAAATCTCCAAGAGTGTTGAATTCAGTTTGCTTAATATACAGCTGGTATTCGCTTCGGCAGTTCTTATAGATGCGTCGAAGCTTTTGTGCCTCCGTATAGTCGGAATGACGCATTAGCCCTTGTAGCGCTAGTACATAGTCCTTAAATGCCTCTCTGGGCCGTTGAACACGCTGCCGTATCTCATCATCGAGTCTTTCGAAATACCGGGAATTCAGGAAGAACTTCAGGAAATCTCGCTTACACGTCTCCCAGTCTCTCCAGTGGCCGTGATTGTTTCGTAACCAGACGAGGGCTCTATCCTTAAATAACTCGGGTAATGCTCGTGGAAGTGCGTCTCTTTCTATCTCGTACCCGTCGGCTAATTCTTCGACGCGTTCGATGAAACCCAGCGGGTCCTTGCCGCCATCGTATTTGACGCCCCATTTGCGTACGCGGTCCATGATAGTTGGGGCTGATCGTTGTGAGTCGACGTATACTGGATACATGGACACGTTCGGCGTTCCTCTTGTGCTGTCGTCGTTGATGGGTTGTTGTGTAGGCGGTAGTAGTAGCACTTCGGGTCTCTTCGGTGTTGGTGCGTTCCCCGCGCTTGTAGACCTCGTATGCTTAAGCGCTAAATCAGTGACCCGATCGCGATGGTTCTCAGTCTCCCCTTCCTCTTGTACAAATGTAGAGAGGCGTTTACGCAGCTCCTCGACGGTCCCCGAATTGTCAAGGCCGAACTCCGTCGTATAGGTCACAAGCTCCTCTTTATTTAAGTAGTACACCCACTTTGTTTTCACCATTTTATTTTTTTTTTTTTTTTTTTTTTAATTTTAATTTTTTTTTTTTTTTTTTTTTTTTTTTTTTTTTTTTTTTTATGTTTATGTTCCTTTGTTTCACGTTACCCTCTTATTGGTAAGGAATGTTTGATTACTTTCACAGTTCTTAATTTCTGGGCTTTACCCTGTGTCTCTATCACTTTAAAAGTGTCTTTGCACTCTTGCCTGGTAGTTTTCCAAATCACTTCACTTCTGTTATCTGTGAGTTCTCCTCCTTGGCCCTTACTGCTTCCTTTATTTATAAGGGCCCCACGTTGGGCGCCAATTGTAACGAACCCGGTTTATCCGGTCTATAGCTGGGCTGTGGCTCAGTCGGATGTTGGGTTCCCTTATCCAAACGTTAAAATAAATACGCCAATGATTCTTATAGTGACGCTTCTTTATTTCGCTATTTAGTTGGCAGCGTTTGCACGTCACACCAATATAACGTATTTCCTTGGCGGCGTTTCCACGTCACACCATATAAGTACTACTTGGCAGCGTTTTCACGTCACACCAATATAACATATTTCCTTGGCGGCGTTTCCACGTCACACCATATAAGTACTACTTGGCAGCGTTTTCACGTCTCACCAATATAACGTATCGCTTTGGCAGCGTTTCCACGTCACACCATATACCTTAACTACCTACTAAGCAACTTAGTCTTCACAATCGTTGCTTAGCCATTCCAATCTGCGTTTGCACGATCGACTGGAGTATACGACTACTCTACCAGAAGTGATTTTTAATTCCAATTGCTGCTCTATTTATACTGTCCTGCACGCAGGCAGACAGTTATCCTAACAATATTGTTGCTAACATTTTGCTTATTTCCTTTTACTTGCTCCTACATTAGTACGTATGTATGTACTTCAACCCTCAACATAAATATGTACATATGTATGTCAATTTCTCGTATATATATATATATATATCCAACAATTCATTTAATATGTATATATATAAGTAGATAAATACAATTCAGGTCTACATACATGTATTAATGTATATATATATAATAACAATTACGGAAAATTCAAAATTCTACGTACATGTATATATATATATGTGTATAATATAAAAACTCAACAATTCAATTTCATTAAATGTGACAGGCAATTGTGAAGTCCCTGTGTGTAGGGACTTGGGGTCTTCACAAAATAAAATGTTGAAAGTAGTCACTTCAGGTACTTCTACATCGGCGGAGAATAATCGCTTTAGTATTCTCGCTGATATGAATGATTTTAACCAACAGGTAGTTAAAAAAATACAAGCCTCCGCCAATTTATCTACGAGAACAAAGTTCTAATGCTCTGTTAGATACTCTCTTAAAACTAGTATGGAAAAATAATTTTCATGTGGTTCCTATTAAAAAGGGTAAAATACACGAAGTATAAGTACAGGCTCAAAGCGAGGAAGTTTTTCGTAAAATTACCAATGAGTTTGATAAGTGTAAGAAATCTTATTACACCTATCAACTTAGAAGTAGTCGAGGACTAGAAATTGTGATAAAAAGCATCGAGTCTAGTGTGAACTCTTAAGAGATAGAGAGTGCTCTTAGGGAAGAAGGTTTTATGGTGCGCAATGTTTTCAAAGTCAAAAATAAAGAAAACAACCCTCAACCGATGTTAAAAATAGAGCTAGAACATGACTATCATAACCTGAAGAAAGGGTAAGTGCATCAAACATATCAATTGCGATATCTTCTACACCGTAAAATCTCCGTATAAGAACCTTAGAGGCCCTGCTGGAATTTGGTCACACAGTCGCTACTGCACCTTACCTGGTATCTGTGTTAACTGTGGGGATCTACACATTTCTAAAGAATGACTGTTAATAACTTTACTTCATATGCACAAATGCTCAAAAATACTTCTCCGACACAACCTCTTTTTGGTCAGAATAGTAGTAACCTAGAAGCTACTATAAACAACTTTATGAAAGTTATGCAGGAGCAAATGATGGCAATGCAGAACATGGTACAATATTTGATTAAAAATCAAAATATATTACTTCAAGTCATTTTACATAAATCATGAATAATTTGTTTTTGTACTGCGAAAAGGATAACCCAGCATAAAAACGAACTAGAAAATTTCCCAAAGCGATATCATATAGAGGTTTTGCTTGTATCTGAGGCCCACCTTACGTAATTTAATAACTTTCAAATTAATTAACAGCTATTCTCATTCGTAACAGAATAAAGCACTTTGAATTAGAAACGTTAAGTGATGAGTTCATTCATAACACTGCAACAGACATTGATGACCACTTGGGTGGCCTTACTGTATCTGCTATAAACTGCCGCTCTCGTCATGACATAACAGAAAAACAATTTAATGATTTTTTCCTAAACTTTGGCAGTAAGTTTATTGTAGCAGGAAATTACAATGTCAAACACATTCTGGGGATCTAGATTGATTACTCCAAAGGGTAGAAACCTTTATAAAGTAATTCAGAACAGAGGATTTGACGTCTTGTCTACTGGCCAGCCAACGTATTGGCCATCAGACCCCCAAAAATTACCTGCTCTTATTGACTTTGGTATAACAAAGGGTATTGCGCGACACCGGAGTGATACTGAAGCATTATTTGATCTCTCTTGAGATCATTCACCCTGCCTCATAACATTATCAATGTTTATTGATTATGAAGAAGAAAAAAATCTTACAAATAAACACACAAATTGGTTAAAATACAAAAAGTATGTCAGTTCGCACATTGACCCGAAAATTCCTATTCGAACCAAGAATGATATCGACAGGGTAGCTGAAAATCTCACTGATATAACAGTTAAGGCCGCAGAAATCCCAACACCAAATCTTCTTACTGCCCTGGCCTGCACACCCTAAATATTCTTAGCTTAATAAGTAAAAAGCGCAAATTAAGAAGGGAAGGGCAAAGAATTCGCTCTCCTAAGCTTAAACAGGAGCTAAATGCGTATACAAAGGAATTACGTATTTTGTTGCAGGCGGAAAAAGAAAGAAGTACCCAGTCGATCCTTCGGTCTTTGTCTGCTTCGAAACTCCCTGTGGCGAACACTGAAACATGCGAAGAGGCCCGTTCTGCGAGAAGCACCATTACGTACTCATAACGGAATCTAGGCGAGAAATGATGAGGTTAAAGCAAACGCTTTCGCCTGTCATCTTTCACATGTCTTTAGACCCAATGAAGGCTCTCATCCTTCCAATATTTCAATACTCCCCCGTAGCCTTATCACAAATCCGCTTCGGGTTAAAAAGAAAGATTTAATTACAACNCTGTCATCTTTCACATGTCTTTAGACCCAATGAAGGCTCTCATCCTTCCAGTATTTCAATACTCCCCCGTAGCCTTATCAAAAATCCGCTTCGGGTTAAAAAGAAAGATTTAATTACAATCATTGTTCATGATATTAAGAAGAATAAAGCGCCTGGTTACGATAGGATTACAGGTGAAATGATAAAGGAGCTTCCACAAACTGCCGTACATTTTTTGTTACATATTTTTAATAACATGCTTAAGACTTATGGAAACTTTCGGAAATAATTATGGTGCGACATCCAGGCAAAGATCCGACGGTAGTAAGTTCATATCGGGCGATTAGCTTGATTTCAATATTTTGCAAAATATTTGAAAAACTTCTATTAAAAAAATACAGCCTTCATTAACAAGTAACCAGATAATACCAACGTCGGGCGCTGTGGTGTAGTGGTAAGCAGTGCGCGCTTCCACTCCGCAGCACCTGGGTTCAAGCCCTGGTCAAAGCAACATCGCAAAAAATATAGTAAGAAGGCTTTTTCTTAACAGCGGTCGTACCTCGGCAGGCAATGGCAAACCTCCGAGTGTATTTCTGCCATGAAAAACAGCTTCTCATAAAAATACAATCGCCGTTCGGAGTCGGCATAAAACTGTAGGGCCCTCCGCTTTGCGTGACAACATCAAGGCGCACGCCACAAATCGGAGGAGAAGCTCGGCCAAACACTAACATATGTGTAAGCGCCAATCTATTATTATTATTATTATATTAAATAATACCACCACATCAGTGTGGTTTTTGTGAAAAACATGGCACTGTAGAACAAGTTCATAGAATTGTTTCTTGTATTAGAAAAGCCTTCGAAGGGAAGTAATACTGCATCGGTGTATTTCTGGACATCTCTCAAGCATTTGACAAAATCTGGCAATTTGGCCTTATATACAAACTAAAGGTTTCACTCCCTGCAACTACACATGCAATTTTGGACAGATTTCTGCTGGGAAGAAACTTCGGCGTCAGGCAGAATTCCTTTAGAACGGGAAGTCACCCAATATATGCAGGGGCCCCCCAAGGCAGTGTTCTAGGACCCATATTGTACGTAATATACACTCGTGATTTGCCAGCTGATGAGAGTCTAACCATTTCAACGTTTGCTGATGACACAGCTATCCTAAGCAATAGTTCAGACCCAAAAGACGCCTCTTACAAGCAGTAAGAATATTTGAAAAAGTTAGAGATATGGCTCGGTTCTTGGAGGATAAAGGTTAGCGAAAGCAAGTGTGTTCAGACAACATTTACTTTGAAGAAAGAAACTTGCCCACCAGTATAAATAAGCAGCAAGGCTATACCACAAAAAGATAGTGCCAAATACCTTGGGATGACACTAGATGGAAAACTTAGCTGGAAAAAGCATATAAAAAAACAAAATTTCTCAAGCGAAACTAAAACAAGCAAGCCTTCAATGGGTTGTACACACACACACAAATCTAAATTTTAATATGATGATTAAACCATGTTGGGCATATGGAATCGGGCTCTGGCACATAGCGTGCAATTCCATTTTGAGCAGACTTCAAAGAATGCAGTGAAACATTTTACGCGCCATATGCGGAGCACCGTGGTAAATAAAAAATACGAATATCCACAAAGATCTTGATGTAAATACGATGCATGAGGCCATAAGAGGGCTAAGCACCAGTTACTCAGCACGTTTAATGAACCATCCAAATCGACTAGCAAGAGATCTTCTTAGCCCGAGATA